CATTCCGCTCTATGAATAAAGCCTGCCCACCTTCATTCCCTTTATCCGTCGGACCCATCCTCCTCCAAGAGTACCATCACTTCCATAGCCAGGCCTGCTGGGGAACTCGGACACTCAGACCGAAAGCGGATGCAGCGTGGAAAGCGATTCGGTAGGAGGGGCCCAGGAGAGGAAAAGTAAATAAAACGATGATGATCTTGATCTTGGGGGGACGGGTGAGGGGAGAGGGAAGGAGGAGGAGTAGAGGAGCGTTTGAGGGTAGGAATGAATGAGTTGGAGGGAGGAGGGAGAAAGGGAGGAGGAAGGCTGGGGAAGGAAAATGAAGGGAGTGAAACAAGGAAGAAAGTTGAGAAAGGATGGATCGGAAGGAAGAAATGCTCCCTCTTAAGCCTTTGCCTTCAACCCTCTCGAGAAAACCGCTATCAGGCCTCGTTCCCGCTCCACCCTGCCTAAATTCCTCAAACCCCTACCTGCCACCGTGCGTGGCCCTCCAAAGGCGCGAGGAAAGCCCAGCAATAAGCAGCGAATAAGACAAGGAAATTGGCATAGCCCTTGACTCTACTCAAAGCGAGTTGAAAATTCGCCGGGAGAGAACGGCGTTCATCGGGGATGGGCCATGGGCTTGTTGCAGTTGAAGCTTGGCTCAAAAAGGCCCGTCATGTAGGAAAATGCTCGTTCCAAGCCGTCCATGACCCCAATTTCAGGCTTCTATGACCTGGAAGTAAATAACGGTAGAGGGATGTGATTTTTCTTTCTGGGGTGTCAACGTTGCGGGGCTAGCTCGTGAGCACACGTAATATGCATCACGGCGAAGAGACATGGCTGTTCAGAGGCCACGGGAGAAATGGTCATTTATGGTCAATGTTCGCAGGTCGTGGGGAGAAAAAAAGAAATAGGAGACGAACCTCAAGTGAAGAATTGGCTGCCGTGGAGTTCACTGTCGGGATATAGTTATTTCACGACGAGAATTTGTCGAAGAAGAAATAAGCGAGAGCCTCTTAGCACACAACCTTCGCGAGGGGCGAGTCGAAACTTGCGACATGAAAGGAAATAAACCTGCACGCGTCGCGATAAATCCACTCGGAACAGAGTTTCCCCCCAAGAAACATGTTTCCTCACAATCGTATGCTTACCTTTGTACAAAGCTGGCGTGGCTGGGGTGGTTTTATTGTCGGGCGAGGGAGGGGAGGGATGGAAAGGACGAATTTGGGTGACGCCATCCCCCGGCCACTTCCTTCCTTAGGCTTAATGCGCCACCACCACCGAGTCATCGCGACGTGCGTGCGTGCGGGGGTCATGCCCGTGCATGGGGGTGTTATGTGTCGTGTGCCCATGGCTCTGGTGCGCTTGCGTGGTCAATGTGATCCTTCACGTCGCCTCTTGCATCTCCACATCAACTCGGCCCGGCCTGTCCTGAGCGTACCCCTCCTACAAGTTGTCTCACCATCATAATCGGCACACGCACACACATACACAGACGGTACAGACCTCCCTGTCGAGAAAATATGTCTTTTCAATCCACAGGCGTTCCCCCAGCGCCAACCCCCTCCTCTGTCTCGGGCCCCGGCAGCGGGGGGGGGGCTGCCCCTTCCCTTCCCTCCCTGTACGCCCCCTTAACCCCGTCCGAGAAAACCTACTACGATCAGCTCTTCGCCATTGCCGACACGGAAGGCACCGGCCAACTCCAAGGCATGCACGCCGTGAATTTTTTCAAACTTTCCGGCCTCGACGTCTCCCTGCTCAAGAACATATGGAGCCTTGCCGATGCCCGACAACGGCATTTCCTCGCCCGTGAGGATTTTTACGTCGCCCTCCGCCTCATTGGCTTGGCCCAAAACGGCATCGCTCCCACCCGAGAAAAAATCCAGGAAACAGCGACCGCGCCAGTGCCTTACGCTCGCTTTTCCAACGTCCCGCTCGCCCCGCCCCCCCCCCCCTTCGCCGGCTACCGCCACCCCCCCCCCAGAACCCGGCCAACCCCTCCCGGTCGCCTGCCCTCCCTTCCTCTCTCCAAGGAGACGGCTATGCCATGTCCAGCGAGGATCGGGCCCGGTACCTGAACCATTTCGGGCCGTGCGACGTGAACGGCGACGGCTTCGTGGACGGGCCCCAGGCGGTGGAGCTTTTTTCCCGGTCGGGCTTGGACCGAAGCGTCTTGGGCAGAGTCTGGGACCTGGCGGACGCGGACAAGGACAGTCGGCTGAGCCCCGGGGAGTTCGCGGTGGCCATGCACCTGATCGTCTGTATCAGCAAGCGGGGCCTCCCTGTCCCCGAGCGCCTCCCCCCCTCCTTGACCTCCTCCCTTTCCCCTCCCCCCGCTCCTTCCGCCCCGGCCCCCAACGCCGCTGCTGTACCTTCCCCTTCCCCCCCCGCCCCCGCTCGCACCCATTCCCTTCCTCAACATGCAACTGCGAGCACCCCAGAGGCCACGCCCTCCCTGACCGCCTCCCCCGCCACCGCCCCCCTCATGGGCCAATCCCTTCCCGCCTCGTCCTTGGCCGGTTTGGGCTCCACCCTCTCCGAATCGACCCGCCCACCCTCCACTTCCCTCTCGGCCACGGGCACCCTACCCCCCTCGGGTAACGGCGAGGAGGGCCTGGGCGGGGCCGTGGCGGGCGTGCAGGCATTGGCGCAAAAGTTGAAAGCGGAGCACATCGCGCTCAAGGCCTCCGTGGATACGAACCAAGCAGACGCAGCGCGGGCGCAGGAGACGCTCGCCAAGACCTTGGAGGAAGTGACGGGCCTCCAGGGAGAGCTCTCGAGGCTGCGTCAGCTGGCTGCGACAGCTGACGAGGAACAACGGCAAATCTTCCAGTCCTTGGGGGCGGCCCGCAAACATCGGGAATTGTTGTTGGGGGAGGTGGAAAAAGCCCGAGCCGAGGTGGACCGGTTGCAGGCACAGAAATCCTCCCTGGTGGAGGAGATGGCGAGCCTAAAGGTGGAAGCGAGCAGTGTCCAAGCCAGTAGGGAGGGGATCGCGGCGTTGGCTGAAGAGCACCAGGGCGAGGCCGAAGCCGCCCAAGCAGAGACGACGTTGCTCCATTCGCTACTCTCTGCCATGGTGGGGACAAGTGCCCGGGTGGGGAGGGAGGTGGAGGGTCTGAAGGGAGAGGTGGAGGGTGCTCGGGCCTCCCTGAGGGCAGCGCACGCCCGGGCAGAGGCCCAGAAAGACTCCTTGCTGCGGGCGCGACAGGAGCGGGAGGCGGCCACGGCGGAGCGGCATGCCGCCATCGTCCGGCTGGCATCGGGGGAGTCGGGCAAGCCCTCGAGGCCCGTGCCATTGCCTTCCTCCGAACCTGTCCCGTCGTCCACCGCCTCCTCCCTCCCTCCCTCCCCTCCCCCTCCTCCCCCTCCTCCTCATGCCAACCTCTCTCCCTCCCTCCAAGGTCCCGCTGCTTTGCCCCGAAGGTCGCCTCCTCCTCCTCTCTTGGCTCCTCCGTCTCCTCGCACCCGTCCCAGACCCATTCCCCCTCCGGTCCCGCCAACTCCACCTTCGGCAGCTCTTCGGCCTTGCCTGTTAAGGAAACTGCAACCACATCCCCCGCTTCCGCGCCTTCTACCGCAGCCACCGCGGGAACAGATGACCATGTCAAAGCCTTGAGCGACGGTTTCGACGACAATTTCGGGGCGCACGTGACCGCGGCAAGCTTCGAGGCAGACGGGAACTCGAAGCATCCCAACCAAGGAGGCTTTGGAGGCGGGAGAGACGACGATTTTGATTTCCCCGCGCCCGAGGCCGGTGGGATGGCGGGCATCGGCGGCATCTCCGACACCTTCCCTGCTCCAGAAACGATGCAGGCCCAGGCTGCGGGCACCACGCGGGCTGAGACAACGTCCTCCACGGGCGGGAAAGGGAGTGTGATGAGCAGCGATGCCTTCGCCTCGGACCCTTTCGCCTTCCCTGACGACGATGCTTTCGGTTCCTCCCTCCCTTCTTCCTCCCTGCCCCCCCCGGCAGCCGCTCCTGCAGAGGGGAAGAAGGATGATGTGAACGACGCCTTCAGTTCGAATGCTTTCGACAAGTTTTAAATATGTAGAGACGGCCAAAGACGAAAATTTGCCGTTCAGGGGGGTTGTGGTCCAAAAAGTGGACGTCATACCGAGCAGAAAAGGCGCCAAAAAAGCAACTAACATGTTCGTGACCCTGGATGCATGTGTCCAAAGGAGACCACTACCGAAGCGATCGACTCTTAAAAGGAAAAGAATGGCCTAGGGCGGTGGCGTATGGTAAGGTGGTTCTTACTTGGCTCCATCGCACACCTGGAAATCGTTCAACCATGGTGCATAAGTTGCTTTCTGACTTGTAGTTTGGGCTTTTTGGGTGTGTGGGCAGGATGTGACGGCGCGCGTAATGCACAAAAATGTGCGGCGAGAATGGGCCACACACCAGCAGAAGTAAGCATATGGGAATGAAATATGATACTTTCATCGAAGAGTCACACTTGACCGCTACAGAGTTCATATCGTCTTAGCCTTCTGCGTGTTCAGCTGAAAATCCTAAATTGTACCCGCAATGGGTTAAATATTGAGCAAACTGTCTCAAGTCACCATTCCCAATCTTGTCATCCTCTGTTCCCGGATCATGATCGACACATGCGAATGTCAACTCCACAGGCGAGGCGCCCGGTGGCTGGCATTGATGTTCAGCACCCATTCCCGATTTTGCATAGAAAATACATATCCTGATGGAAACTAAAGAGCGCTTATTTAAACTCGTTATTGTACGTGGTTGCGACTTGACGTCTGCATTTCTTTGTCTTTTGGCCTCGATGGGAAGCAAGGGGGGAGGAGGTTAATGCTCCGCTCCGCTTGAGCACAGGGGACAAGGAGAGGGTTCTCAACACAAAACAATATGTTTAGTGACAGAATTGATATCTCTCTCTGGTAGTCTCGAAGTAAGGCGCTCGCCTCTGTCATATCAGGGGAGACCATGACTTTTAGTTTCCGTGTACATACACAGGCTGAATTCCTATGACCGACAAACAGCAAGAACAAGAGTGACATGGCTGCTGCCTATAAGTCCTCGAAGGTAGGTGCTGTCTTACGTACTTTGCAAAAGCAAGGTGTTCTTCAACCCTCTGAGGCTCGCAAAGGGGAAGATGTCATCCTGGCCTACGACCTTGACGCCTTGGAAGCAGGTTTTCGGAGCCTCACGGAGGCTTTCCCGGCTCATTTTCTCCATTGCTACGCGATGAAAGCCGCCCCCATGGGATTCATTGTTGAAAAAGCCATCCAGGCAGGGCTTGGTATCGAAGCGGCTTCCATTTTGGAGGTGGAAAATGCCCTTTTGCACGGGTGCCAGCCCGCCAACATTGTCTTTGATTCCCCTGCCAAGACCTTTCGGGAACTTGACTATGCCCTTTCCCTGGGAATCCATATCAACGCCAACACTTTCGAAGAAATCGACCGCATTGCGTCCATCCTCTCTGAGCCTACACCTTCGCACGCACCGCCACGCTATCCCCCTTCTGTGGGCCTCCGCATCAACCCCCTTGTCGGGGAGGGGACTATAGCCGCCCTTAGCGTCGCTACAGCGACCTCCAAATTCGGCGTTCCCCTTTCATCCTGCTCCTACGACCCTTCCACGCCTATTGAAAACATCCCTTCCTCCTCCTCCAAAGACCGCATCCTCGGCGCCTTTCGGAAATACCCGTGGTTGACGGGCCTCCATGTGCACGTCGGCTCCCAAGGGATCAGCATGGGGCAACTCGCCCACGGCGTCCGGGTCCTCAGCCTCCTGGCTATTGACGTGGACAAGGCGATGGGCATGGAGGACGGTGGTGGGCCGGGAGAATCGGGCGGCAGGGTGAGGACAATGGATTTAGGGGGCGGCCTCGGCGTGGATTACGCGTCACCCCGGAATTCGCCGAATTTCACCGAGCTCGCGGCGACATTGAAACGGGCAGCCCCGTCCCTTTTCCTTCCACCGCCTGCCCAGGAAGGGGGAAAAGGAAGCGTGGAGCCCCAAAGCGGGTGCTCTGCAGGTCACCCTCGGATCCGAGTGGTGACCGAGTTCGGCAGGGGCTTAACGGTGCGCACCGCCTGGCTGGCCAGCCGGGTCGAGTATGTCTTTGCCAACGCCGACGGGGGCCTAGAGGGAGCGGAGACCCTGCGCACGGCGATTTTGCACGCGGGCGCAGACATCCTCCTCAGGGAGTGCTACTTGCCGGGGCGATTCCCGCATCGGTTCTCCCTCTATTCCGAGGCGGGGCAGGGTGTGGCGGTGGAAGGGGAGGAGGAAGGGGAGGAGGAAGGGGAGGAGGAAGGAATGGTCGAGGCCAGACTCACACGGCGCCCGGGTCGTTTCAATCTGGCGGGCCCCTTGTGCTTCGCCGGCGACGTGATCGCCAAGGGAGTTCGGCTCCCGCTTCTAACGTCCGGAGATTGGGTCGTAGTACACGACGTGGGCGGATACACACTGGCCCTTTTCAGTCGGTATTGCTCACGGAGCGCCCCCGCTGTGGTGGGGTATTGGAAGGGGGGGGAGGAGGGAGGGGAGAGAGGGGAGGAGATCCAGGTACGGGTCTTGCAGGCGCGGGAAACGGAGAAGAGCGTCTTGGGCTTTTGGGGGGGGCGGTAGGAAGGGCGGGGGATGGCAATCACGAGGGGTCAACTTCGGGGGGGGAGGAGGGGAGAAAAGGTGTCTTGCAGGGGGGAAAGGAGAGAGGGCGGTCGAAACTGACGCAGGCCTTCGCGTCGGTGCAATGGGGAAGCGGAGGACGGTAACGGCGGAGGCTGAGGAGAGGGCGAGGCGTGACTGCACGAGACTCGGTGGGAGAGATGGACTAGGATAACAAGCGCGCAGAGTGTTGAACAATTAAAAAGAGACATACATGGCTAAGTGAGAGCCCTGATAACCTCCCGGGTGCCCCTCTATGCTGGAGGTCTCGATTCTGCAACTTTTTTGGTCTCCGAAGGTGCCACATTCGACCCCCTCCTTATCTTTGTGTCTGATTTTCTCGTCTCCTTCCCTAAGCGAGCCTGGGGTGCCCCCCCCCCTCTGCCCCTTCCCTGCTCGCGCTTCGACTGTTGTCAAAACCCTGAAACTCCGTGTCAACTGCCGTTTTCAAAATTTTGAAATTCCGGGTCAACTGCCTGTCGGATACTCGTGCCTTGCCACCGCAATGCCACTCACTCCACCCCCCCTTCCCTTCCTCCTCTTCGAGATCCCTCCAACCGGAGACTTCATACCCCACCTCAGAGTCAACGCCTTCCACCCACCATCAACGCTCATGATCTCCCTTTATTTCGCTGGCCGCCAAACCTTCCTTTTCGGCAATGTCCTTTAATACAAGTCCTCCTCTCCCTCCTTCCCGTCTTCCCCCTCGCCCTCCCCCTCCCCCCCTTCCCCAAATTTAAACTCGCCAAAGCCTCGATCCGCCTTCATCTGCGCATTGAAAGCGTCGTATTTCCGAATGTCCGCTTCGCTGACACTCTTGCGCGCCCGGCCCATCGCTTCTTCAAAGTGCAACTTGGTGATGAAGGGCACCGGGTCCTCCTCCTCCCTTTCCTCCTCCCCCTCCTCCACCCTTCGGGCCTTCTCCACCTCGGCGAAGATCGATTCCCGGATCGCATTCTTCGCCGCCCGTTGGCAAATCTCCGAGATGTCGGCACCCGAAAAGCCTTGGGTCGCCTCCGCCATCGCCTCCAAGTCCACGTCCGGTGCCACCGGTGATTTTCGGAGGTTGGCGTTGAAGATGGAAAGGCGAGACTTATAATCGGGGAGGGGAATGTAGACAAGCTGATCCAAGCGCCCCGGGCGGGTGATAGCACTGTCCAAAATGTCCGGGCGGTTGGTGGCTCCGATGACAAAAACGGATTTTCGGGCGCCCACCCCATCGATCTCCGTCAAAATCTGATTGATGACCCGGTCTCCCGCCTCGCTGCCACCCGCCCCCGACCCGCGAGCCTTGGCAATGGAGTCCATCTCGTCGAAAAAGAGGATGCAGGGGGCAGCCGCCCGGGCTTTATCGAACAGGTCCCGGACGTTGGCCTCGCTCTCCCCGAACCACATGGTCAGGAGCTCGGGCCCTTTGATGCTGATGAAATTGGCGCCGCATTCGTTCGCCACCGCCTTGGCCAAGAGGGTTTTCCCGCAACCTGGAGGGCCGTAGAAGAGGACACCGCGCGCCGCGGGCATCCCTGTGTGGGCGTGGCACAGGCAGGAACGAAGGAATGATGGAAACATCCTTCCACAGGCAACGCTTACTCTCATACATACATCTACATATATACATCCTACTCCACCCTCCCACCCGCCCATGCCCTCGCCTTCCCCTGCTCGCCCACGCACCGAACTTCTCGTACTTCGCCGCGTACTCGACGGGGTACTGGATGGTCTCGGCCAACTCCCTCTTCACATCTTCCAAGCCCCCCACGTCCTCCCAGGTCACGTCCGGGACCTCCACTTGGGTTTCGCGCAGGGCCGATGGGTTGCAGACGCTCATGGCATGCCGAAAGTGCTCGTTGTCGATCATCAACGAGTCCAAAATCTTGGCGTCGATCTCCTCCTCGTCAATGTCAATGTCTCTGGGGAACCACCGAGCACGAAGAAGGAAAGATGCGTTTGCGTCAGTGCCATTATCAAGCCGATCCCACCCATGTCCCGCATACCCCACGGCATCTGCTTACCCAAACAAAGCCTTCCACCGCCTCCCCACTCAAACCCTGCCGGTCCCACCCCTCCCCTCCGTCCCCCCCCGTCCGCTTACCCCATTTTTTCCCGGATGCACTGCAAGGCCGCCTCCATGCACAATTGGCTGATGTCCGCGCCGACAAAGCCGTGCGTATCCTTGGCCACGAGGGCCAGGTCGATGTCGGGGGAAAGCTTCATGTTGCGGGTCTTGATCTTCAACACCTCCAGGCGTCCATCGTCGTCGGGGACCCCAATGTCCAGCTCCCGATCAAAGCGCCCAAAGCGACGCAAGGCAGGGTCGATCTGGTTGGGGCGGTTGGTAGCCGCCATGACCACCACGTTCGAGGAAGGCTTGATTCCGTCCAGGAGGGTGAGCATTTGTGAGACGATGCGACGTTCCACCTGAGAGCCGGTGGGAAAGAGGGTCAGTGCGAGAAGACGAGGGTACATAATGGCGTGCCTCCTTAGCTTCCTCCCCTCTATCCGCTCCACGTACCTCCCCCCCGGCCTTATCCCGCTTGGGCGCAATCGCGTCCAGTTCGTCGATGAACAGGATGGCAGGAGCATTCTTCTCGGCGTCTTCGAATGCCTTTCGGAGCTTGCTCTCGGACTCCCCCGACATCTGCAAGAAGGGAGGGAGGAAGAGAGGGAGGGAGGGAGGGGAACGCGATCAGACGTGAACTTCCGCTCGTCCCCGTGCATCCAACCATGCGTCCATCCTCTCAAGCCGAGAGAGCGAGGCTAGCGGAGACAAAGGAAGAAGGAAGGGAGGGAGGGACGGAGGTCGTGGGGGAGGTCGTGGGGGAGGACGGGGCCCGACGGACCTTGCTCATAATCTCCGGCCCATTGATGGTGAAAAAATACGCGTTCGTCTCCGCCGCCACCGCCTTGGCGATCATCGTCTTCCCCGAGCCCGGAGGACCGTAGAGAAGCACGCCCCGCGGGGGGGGAATACCCACCGAGCGAAACAGCTGTGGGTGCCGCAAGGGAAGTTCCACCAACTCTCGAATCATGGCAAGTTGCTTTTTGCAGCCGCCGATATCGTCGTACCCCAACTCATCCAACCGCTCGTCGTCCTCCCGGTTCAACGCCTCCTCGCGGATCTCCACTTCCGTCTCATCCCCCACGATGCAGTAGGCAGCCTCCCCCCCGTCCTCCCCCTCAACCTCCACCCCGACCACCTTAAACTCCACCGCCCTCATCCCCCCCCGCGCTAAAAACGTGTCCCCCACCCGGACAGGTCGGTATGTTTCCTTGAAGTACGGCTCCACGAATGTCTCGAAGAGGTCGCCCTTCAGGCCCTGGATGGTGTCGGCGAAGGGGACTACCACTACCTTGCGCCCCGTCTTCACGTCCTCGAGCTGGGTCAGAGACACCGCGTCCGAGAGGTGCACTCGCAGGTTTCCCCGGACCCCTTTGGTCAGCCGCACGTGGGCGTCGTCGAGCGTCTCGTCCGGCACCGCCACCCCGACTGTCTCCTTCCGCTTCTTCCCCTTGAGCAAGACGAAGTCCCCTTGGAACAAGCCCAGGGAGGCCATGGTCGCCGGCGAGAGCGCCACCATACTTTGGTCCTCGTTAACTGCTTCGTCCACGATGAATGTGCTCTTTGTCTTTTTGGGAGCGGGTGCCTGTGATGCCTCCTGAAACCCACCTTCTTC